ATAATTTGGGCATATTTTGATCATGCTTTACTAAATTGGAGGATATGTATTCGCTTGCACAGAGGAATATCAGTATTACTATTTTATGCATGAAGTATCATCTGAATGGTGTCGATCTAAAGACAGGGAATAAGAATGAAACTGTACGCTAGTAATTTTTTATTCTAGTTAACCTCTCGTTTTAACTTCGTCTCTAGAAGTTCAGGTGTTTCACTTCACCCCACATCTGTTCTTTTTGCGAGTCTAATAATACTTTTTTATTACCGAGGAATGCAAGATACACATGTTTTATACACCTGGGTCAAGAGGGACTTCGTGAGCTCGATGATGAGACGATCTGTTGGCTCAATAAGGATCTTCCTATCTAGATGATGTACTCCCTGATATTCTTTGCACGAACGAACGAACGAAGAGGGACAATTTCAAAAGGGCGAAGATCCTAGTTCAAGGATATAAGCACCGAGCAAGGTTCGAACATGGGACCTTTTGTATGAGAGCCAAGAGCCTTTACCGATACACTACCGTACCATGCATGTACGCCAATGTCAAAAATAGTAACATTGTATTTTGGCAATCCTCACAGGTACTCCTTTACCTCTTGGGTGGGGAGCCGCGATTTGAAGTTTACTTTCGATTGCTTCCGTCTTGATCAGAAATCTATATTACCGCTGCATATTAAATAGCAGTGGGAAAATTGAAAGTTTTCAAAGGGCTAAAAGGGCCATAGAAGTATTATTAATTGACAATTGTTGAAGTAATATCAACGTGGATTGACATGAACGATATATGTTGTCATGCAGACGCGTACACAGGGAGGGGGAGGGGGGGGTTGCGGGTTGAACCCCCTTTGGTATTTTTATGTGTGTAAACCCCCCTAACTCCCCCCTTTTTTATTATTATTTAAAAAATAAAAAAAAAATTATGCCCATGGCTGACCTAAAAAAAGTGACCTTACCCCCCCCCCCCCAACGAAAACAAAATGTCAAATTGCCAAATTTCGAGACCACAAAAAAGAAAAAAGTGTCCTCTTACCTCCCTCCCACCCCCCCCCCCCCCTCCCCGCAATGAGCGACTTTTCGGCTGGCTGAGTCGTTGCGATTTTGTTTGGACTCCAAAAAAAAAAAGTGTCCGCTTACCCCCCCCCCCCCCCAACACTGAGCGACTTTTCGGCCGGCGCGATTTTCAAATTTCTGGGAGCAAAATAATAAAGCTGAGTCGTTTTGGGCCCGATTTTAACCCCCCCCCCCTTGAAAAAATCCTGCATACGCCGCTGTTGTCATGGGTGACATTATGTTTACGTACAATGTACATTATACATTTAACTACCTTTTGGGTCTGCTGTCCCGGATTGTGTTTTGTATATTTTTTGCGTTATTTTTAATTCTAGAGTTAAGTGATCCCTTCATGTAATAAAAACAATCGCATAGACCTCCATAAAATGAGGGCAATTTCAGTACCCCGTTATATTTCCTGTTGAAAAGTACGTACGTGTAATATGTCATTGTCAAAATGTAAAAAGTGACGCTCAAGGCAATTGAAAATGCTTTGAGTTGATATTCAAAAGTCTTTGTCTCTAAATATAAAAATTATCAGGTGTTGATGTAGAGGCATTGAATCATCGACATTTAAAATATACTTAACCGTCGTCTGTCATAAACGAATACTGTAATATTTAAAAAATGTCAACCGCATGTTCCTTTGAATTCTAAATATTTCATCTTGTTCACTCTCTCAGACTGCCAACAATTCGACATGGACTGCTGGTGCAGCAGGCGTACCAACAAGGTTGTCTTCTGCAACGGTAAGTTACAACAGCAACAATAATAACAACAATATTAACACTAATGATAATGATAATGATGATAAAAATAATAATGCTAATGATAACAATTAACATAATAATAATAATAATCTTTTTATTAACCGAAAATGGAAATTCTTTTTGCCCAATTGATCGTGAGCCCGGCAGCCACTGAGCACTGAGCGCCAGATCGACGTTGCTCTATCCCATATTGTTAAACGCCAAACAAGGTACCAGCAATATCAACGTCAGGACCGATTGTCAACATTGATTCGACTACCCTTGTTGTGTCACTGGTAATTAATCCACTCTTTCGATTATGTTATTTTTTCAGGAGCTGGAGATGGAAATGGCATCTAGATACTAACGTCTGTAAAGGTAAACACAGTTTTGATAATTTTATCTTTGTCTACCACTAGTTTAGAATTGCCTAACCAGGAAAGAAATTGATCGTGACAATGGTTTCATGTCTAATCTTTTCATTTTATTTATTTTTCCTCAACGGCTATAATGCAGTTAACCTACACCTCACGAAGTAGATTATTAGATTAATTGTCACTCTCAGTACATGCCAGTGGACGATGTCGATACGAAATAATTCAGTTTACACATCATTTCGAATGAAAATATTTTGTTTCATGCGATCATCATCCATAATAATATTTCATTTACATGTCAAACACTTACCTAGTTTTATTCTAACTTAACCTTTTTCTCTCTCCATTAGGCCATGTATTTCATATTTATAAATCATTTTAACGCACCCCCGTCCCTTATACCATAAAACTGTCCATGCCTCCGTAAAGGAGAAGACAAAATTGTTTATTCATCCTTCGCTGTTGTTGTTATTGTTTTTTTTTACAGATACCTGAGTCCAATAAAAAGACATCACGCGTAGCTGCAGTACTTCAGACGTGCCCTTCCTTCTGTTAATGAAAGTAATTAATTCATACGCCTTCCAGACTACTTTCCACACTTTATTGTCTCAAACTGTGATGCCGAAATATGATGGTTTTTGGTAACAATTTACGACCCAATTGATTAATTGGCGTCCAGTCTAAATCATATGACTTTCAAGACTCAATGACATCGTAATAAATGCATTTTTAAACAAACTGATCTATTTTCACAATCTCCTTAATTCACGGTATGTGCACTTTGGCATTGATGGATTATTCAGGTGACGCTAATGAGTGTAAGGGGGGGGGGGCATTGAATTCAAGTGAAATATTTCAGAGGTTGCGGAAAAGAGTGAGTAATCATACAAAGCCACGATGCTGGAAGTGATGCCGATAATTTGAAGTGTGTGTGTGTGTGTGTGTGTGTGTGTATGTGTATGTGTATGAGAGAGAGAGAGAGAGAGAGTTAGAGAGAGAGGGAGAGAGAGAGAGAGAGAGAGGAGAAAGAGAGAGAGAATGAGAGAGAATGAGAGAGAGAGAGAGAGAGAGAGAGAGAGCGGGAGAAAGGGGAGTGAGGTGGATGGACATGAAACACTTTAAAGTACAAGGAAAACAAAAAGCGAAAATTATTGAAAAAGCGTTTTCAAGTGTTAATGAAAACATTGTTTTATGGTATATAGATGCCAGATATAAGGGTTAAGGGTCACAAATTATTTTCACACACAAAAAGCAACTGTAAAGTAAAGGGCAAATTAACTATGTTTCGAACACCGGGATCAACATTCCCTTGAATGCTGTCCAAGAACACAAAAGTCTGTACCTCTTCTTATTCGAACACAATGCTTTCAACTGGTAATATATGTAGCCTGGCGCATTACCTTTACAAATTTGCAAACTATTCTGTCACATAATTATAATTATCCAACTATATTTTCTTTAAGCAATACAATAGTCTATTTTATTCACCCTTGGGCTGATTTCTTGAAAATCTCTGCGATCATGTTGGGCGTGGTATCCTCCAGTGAAGGGCAACTTAACTATGTTTCAAACGCCGGGGTCAATGTTCTCGTGGATGATGTCCATTGCAAGTTAAGAGTCCGTAAGTTAAAAAAGCCACAGTGCTTTTAACCGATGCTAGTTAGATTAAAAATCCTGGACAAACATTTATAAACAGTTTTAAAAAAAACACCATGTCACTTAAAATGTTTGGAAATGAAGCAAAGAAACCTTAACAAGTTGAACAAGCCCAAGTCACCAAGGCATGAAAAAAATACAACAACAACGATAAAAATTCATTAACAAAAAATAATTTGAAATTTAGCATTGAAATTAAAAATTGTGGCTGGGTTACCAAAAATACAGTATGAACAAGACCTGATTTGCTTGTAGCCTTTAATATTGTACTTTTTATTTGTTACTATTGAATATTAATTTTATCAATAATTTAAAAAAAATCATTACCACGTTCAATATCTTCCCTCTCCTCTTTAATTTTCTGAATTATAGCACTTATTGGGTGCGAGTAGGTATCGTGTTAATATCCAAATTTGTTCTGATTCCTCAAAACAATTTTTGCATTAATAGAAGTCACTTGGCATGCATCGGTTAATGCTATGTCATGCAAACCTCTGAAAAAAACTTTGCTAGTTCCTACTTTACTGGCTTTTAAGAAAGAACCGTTTCTGTTTTGGATCTGTTTAGTGATCTTGTAGATTTCAACAAAGAAATAAAGATAAACATTTTATTCCTGAAACTGGTGCTGCCTAAACTTAAAAATGGTCAAGAATTGAAGTTAGAAAGGCGATTAGTGTAGAAAAATCTGCGGAGCATTCGTCGAAGGAGCAAACGTCGTTTTACATCGAAGAAAATGTTAACTTAATAGTATAACGATGTTGATGACCTTGACTAACTCGGGGAAAATTACATGCTGATAAACTTTCTGATCCGTTGATGAATCTATGACTACTCAGCTAAGATACACACAGCCTATGACTCTCTTCTCATCATACAGTTTTATAAAGACTCATCTCTGATTAAAAGAAGCTCTCGACGCCACATGTGGCAAATGTCGCCGCATATGGCAAATGTATCGCACATTGATCTTCTGTTCCTGTCTTTCGTCATGCTATTAGAGATATTCTAATGAAAGAAAATGAAAAGAAAAACGTGAGCTTCTTTCTGCTAAATTAATTGGTTGTGACAAGTTCATCCAACGGCATAATTATTTCATTTAATGCAATATCATTAATGGCTCATCCTGGTTGAATTCCTATAAATAAAGGAAGTCTTACAGAGGACGTTATTCAGTTGCAGATCGCAGATATATTCAAGACATCCCATTCTTTTACCAGGTAAGATTTTATACAAACCATTTTTTTTTAAAAACAATGTCTAGTTGAAAAAAATCTGTGTCTATGAATCTACTTATTTATTTTGTATACGTGTGGGATGGAACACCCTATTCAGCACGAATTTTGCTTTGCCTGGGGGTTCCCTCTAAATTAAAACTCATATTACATATTTAAATTCTTTAAATGTTGTTTTTAATATATATATATATATTTTTGTTATTTTTTTATTTATTTATTTATATATTATTGTTATTATTTTTATTATTATTATTATTATTATTATTTTTTAAATATTTTTTTGGGGGGCTATTAGTGGTATAATGAGTTCTGTTGAATTTTGATTAATTACCATATTCTTGTAATGTGTATGATTCGTAGATATGTGCACCAAGGGTGCCTATATGTCGGCAGAGTTGCGCGCAATAAAAGAGTAGAATTGTCATTATTATTATTTGATATAGCATTTCATTTTTTAATCCGAGCACGATTTCTATGGGATATACAAAATGGTATCGAAGGAGCGTGAGAGTCGATTGCTCTATATTCTTTTGAAGAATAATTTTACACTGACAAAGTTAGGGGAACCAGAATTGGATATATGTGAAACGCTTCATTTCTTCTCGGTTTTTCATATGGACCATTTGTAACAGCAATTTCAATCTCGTGTTCGCACTACAGATTATCGGAAACCAACCTAACAACCAAAATGTCCAAGGCTCTGTTCTTCGTCCTCGCTTGTGCCCTCATCGTCGCCGCCCTTGCTGAATTTGAAAACGACGATGAGACCGCTGCTGATGTCGAGTTCATGAAGAGGGACGCTGACATGTTGGAGTACTTCGAGACTGAGAAGAGGGGACTGGGAAGGAACATGAAGAAGTACAAGTGTAAGTATATATACGTTTAACCATTACAAAAGAACTTGTATCAACTAATATCGTCACCCAAGACAATTCTGTTGGTGTAACTTGATTTCTTATCTTTTTCTAAACAAAATTTGATTCTGCACAGTGTGCATCATCATTCCCAAAATATATTTGGGCATGTTTTTATTTTGAATATTGTGAGAAGAAGAGGAATATGTAGGCCTCAATGACATTTAAAGAACAAAAACAACATTTAAGCATAGCTTACTCTGAATACTTTACAGAATATATATATATTATGGCCCATAAAATCTAGTAATTTTTTTTCACTATTTTCATTAAAAAGTTGTGACAGTATTTTTTTAAAAACTTTTGATAGATAATTAAAGCTTCCATGTTCTAAGAATGTATTGATCTATGTAAATACACCCTGTAGTCACATAGAATTAAAAGTCAAGTTCTGAGAAGATATAAACTTTATCTATAAGGATTAAACCAAATTGCCATCACCATTTTATGAAATGAGATAAGAAGTATTCTTCCAAATTTAAGGCAACAATATAGTTATGATTTTCGATTGTTATACATGTAACATATATCTAAAGCACAGCGGTTAGGATTAAAGGAAACACGGATATATCCCAAACCTGTATTTACTGGTAATTGTTCACAGGGAGCTAAATCATTCCGAGGGATGAATCAAATGTACACAATCTGTACTGAAGCCACTGGATAACCACAGGCCAGAAGATTCTAAACTGACATCTTTACTTCATTGCTTTTGCATGAACTAATCATGCAGGTATCACTGTAAGAATTTCTATGGTTTTGAACGTATCTTTTTCTTGTTTTCACTTTTAGCCTGTCAGTATTACGGCATGGACTGCTGGTGCAGCAGGCGTACCCAGAAAATTGTCTTCTGCAGCGGTAAGATCTGATGGAATATGCTCATTTTGTCTTCCTAATGTCTTAAGCCTCGGTCACAAATGCCAATAGGGACTTTTAGATTGAGTGGACGAGAACACGACGAACGCCGACTGATCATGCGTGTCAACGTACCCAACTGCTCATGTTAACTACAATTATAAATCTTTTAGATTGCACTCGACGATATACATGCATGCAAGAAGTAACACTATGAATATGACGGACAAAGAATGAGGACAAAATATACAGTTCCTCATTCTACCCTCAACAATTGCTGTGGTAGAACATCCCTTCACTGCTCTTAAGTAAAATGTGTAGAACAGGTGAATATGCATGTGACACCTGTTCTACACATTTTACATAATAGCAGGGAAGGGATGTTCCTTTGTCTATACCTGAGGAACTGTATATTTCATGCGCACGCGGCATATACTAGTAACGTACTAGATTTAGGAAAATCAAGGTTGACGCATTCTCGATCGCCGACTGAGACGACGTGACGCATGCGCAGTGCCTTAAAATGACGTCACACGTTGCAGTCAAAGCTGTCGACGTGCAAATCTAAAATTCCCTATTACGAACTGCTACGAACGCCGTCCGAACGATTTAAAGCTTCTATGTTCTAAGTATTTAATTCGGGAAGACAATGGAAAAATAGGGAGATTCGTACGAACTAATCGTTCGTACGAACCTTTGTGACCGTAGCTTTAGATGCTTACCTTTTCCCACTTAATTTTTTTTCGTAATTTCTATACAAATATACTCAACATACCCATGCAATAAAAACAAATCCGGAAACAAAAGCAGAGCAAAATTGAATGCAGAAATAATATAATAATAAATACAATACATTTATTCGAACAGTATAAAGGAACGGGTGTTCTGACCGACGTTAAATTATGCTAGTCCTGTTAGGCACATTTGGAGTATAATTTGGTGTTTAGAAAGATGTATTAAAATGACGTGAAATATCTAGGGTTTATCACATTTTTGCTCTGTGATAAAAGAATGGTAGGTTGAATAAAGGTTTTTTTTTCAAAGCCAAACATTTAAACATCCGAATAAAGCCATGCTATAGTAGTTACCTTTGAGAGTAGGCGTATACACCCGCCATCTTACAAAATTGCATTTTCTGAAATAATTTTTGTTTGGATTTCCGGAAATCGATATACAGTGTGAGTCAAAAAAAAGTTTACACCTAGAAAATTGCTAATTATTTAAAAAATCATCCATGAAAAGTAAGTTAGTATACACCTTATGAAAGAGCATTTAATCCCAAATCATTTGGTACCATTTTTGTGTGGTATGTGTTCACGCTTGTATGAACAGGCGGCATTGTTTGCGAGGGTGCAAAAATCGACTTGCGCCTAAGTTGCTTATGTGATGTTTGAATAAAACAATCGGGATTGGGGTATTAATTCGGTCTTTGCAGATCTAAATAACATCCCTAACAAAATTAATCATGCCACACATATCAAATATCGAATATCAAATATCAACGAACATTTGTACGCGTGTGTGTGTGGGTGTGTGTGTGTGACTTTGCCCTTTGCAAAAAGCATATGTGCGCATGTAAAAATGACGCCTGGCTGGAATGCTCCCCAGGGAGTGGAGAATGTGCATACATTGTGTGCGGGTAAGCCTGAATCCAATGACCGGGGTAATAATATACTTATCTGTAAAGCGCTTTTAGAGGGCCTCCGGTCCTGAAAAGCGCTATATAAGAACGAGCTATTATTATTATTATTATATGCAATGCATTTCATTTGATACATTCAGTTCATTCTCTCACTCCGCTGATCCCAACATTACTGTAGGCATCACTTAGGCGCAAGTCGATTTTTGCACTCTCGCAAACAATGCCTCCTGTTCATCCAAGCGTGAACACATACCACACAAAAATGATACCAAATGATCTGGGATAAAACACTCTTTCATAAGATGTATAATAATGTACTGTTCAAAGATGGTTTTAAAACTAACTAGCAATTTTCTAGGTGTAAACTTTTTTTTTTACTCACACGGTATTGATAAAATAATTATTTGTATTTTGGTGAATTGTCTTCAAATTTCAAATCATGTGTTTTAAATTTCAAATACGATGTTTCTGACTTTTCTAGAAAAAGTAAACTAGTAGATGTAATTCAATTTGAGGGTAAACATGTGGTAAAAATAACACTCTGTAGAGATTTTAGCAAAAATGATTTTCATATAATGCAATCGAATGGAAATGGGTTAATCTGATTTATAATAAAGATGCCATGTGCCCCTTTTATGGTTTTTGACTAAAAACACGATTTTACGTTACGATTTATCTGATATCACGGACTTTGAAAGTATATCAATTTTTTTTCCTTCTCTTTAACAGGTGCCGGAAACGGAGATAACATGTAAACCCATACTCTCTCTGGCTGCATCCGTTGACCAATCCTAGATCAGAACAGAATGACATATGGACAGTCTCGACCAATGATATTCCCCTCTAAGATTATTATGATCGTCATAATATTTCCATTGCCATCAAGTTGAACTCAGAGGGCTTCCAACACTCAGTGATATTGTAATAAAGATGTTTTAAACAAACTATCATATTGTATTTGATGTCTTTAATGACGGTGCTTGTAATGTGCAGTCAGATAACACTTTGGAAAACGGCTAACAGGCAAATACTTTGAAAATATCGAATAACGCACAGTAAATATAATGCGTTCATTTTTTCAGTGGGTGGCAGCTTGTACGAAATGAATAGAAACATGTTCCAAAGTCAACCTGCTGTCAATATATATATATATATATATATATATATTTATATTTAAATTAATTTTTAATGTTAGTCTTTCTTAGATCACATGACCAATCCTTCAGGGATTTTGAAGATAATTGAAACCTGCAGCAGTATTTTAAAATACGGATATATATATATATATATATATATATATATATATATTTATCGATAGCATTTTGTAAACACTGCCTCTCATTGAACGTTTGGGACTCTATATTCACCACTGTAACTTATTCGCTGTTTCCAAATTATTTGCCTGTACTTGGGGTTCCGAAGTTGTGTATTGGTGAAGTTACCAAGCGATTAATGGATGACTTCATGAGTAATAGAACATACGTTATTTCAAAAATTAAACAGATACATGGAAAGTTAATTAGTTATATAAAGATGAACATTAAGGCATATATTTCACAAATAGTAATATTAAAATTACTGTGAGAGAAAAATTGAGAGAGAGAAAGGGAGAGAGAAAAAAAGAGAGAAAAAGAGAGAGAGAGAGAGAGAGAAAGAGAAAGATAGGGAATGAGGGGGGGGGGGGGGGGGACTGCCGGACTTAGAAGACATAACATGGAGCAAATATTGAACAAAGTGACAAATGGACAAAATCGTAAAAAAGGGATTTGGGAATCGTTCTAGGAACAACCAAAAAAGTGCTTTGCTTAATACAAGTGAAAGTCTAGTATTTCAAAAATGTTCTTTTTGGCAGTTATTATTATATTTGCCTTTCCTGCCTTAATATATCCCCCCTTAACACTTATTTCCTCTACGCCCCTCTCTATCCCTCCTCTCTCTCTCCCCCCTCTTTCTCTCCCCATCTCCTCTCTTTTTCTCCCCCTCTCTCTCTCCGATTCTATTTCTCTCCCATCTCCTCCCCTTCCTCCCTTACTCTCTCTCTCTCTATTTCGCTTCCTTCGCCTCTCCCTGTTTCTCTGATAATTCAAAAATGGTTGGAAGAATTTACTGTTAATCATTGTTAGAGGGTGTTGTACAGTGACGCCTTCAAAGAAAACCATAGATATCTTTGTGGTTTGAGATTTTTTTTCAGGATTTCTTTGCATGTCAGAGGGTTAGTACAGTAGAAGGAATATAATAAATAACATATTAAACAAAAATTAAGCAATTTTTTCATCAACCTTCAACAATTTTACCGAGTCACTTTAAGCCTAAGTCACACTAAAGGGTCGCTGACCAACAACAACCTCACAGACCTGCAACCAACGAAAACCACTGTTGACGGAACCCCCGAAATCTGAAGAAAATTTTAGTGGCGTCTATCTGTCGCATAGTACAGGTTGCCTATAGGTTGCAGAATGGTTGTAAATACATCCACAAGATGGAAGATCGTTTGGCAACCATCGAGGGAAGGTGGGTAAACGGTCGCCGACTTGGTGCCGACTAGTTTACAGACTTTCCAACGTTGTGTGTTCGACTATGTGCCTTTATGCTGATTGTCTATATGCGACTTTCAGGTGGTCCTGTATTTTGTAAATAAACGGCGATCGTTTGGCATTTGGTCGGCAACCGGTGTTCTATATTGTTGCTGACCGGTCGTCTGCAGATTATCTGGCACAGGTAACTGATCAAAATAAATACTCATTTATCCCGCACGCAACAACAGAAGAAAGGTTGGCGACAGGTTGCCTACCTTTTGACAATCGATTAAAAATCAGAAAACTCGTACCAATCATTTCGGCTGACAAACAGGGGCAAATTTGTTTCGATGCAACATCGACACCCTTCATCTAGTTGCCAACCAATGATAACCTTTAAAATACTCTAAACAAACTTTCTGAAACAGCTGACAACCAACTGGTTGTTGCTTAACATATATCCCCCATCTCTCTCTCTCTCTCTCTCTCTCTCTCTCTCACACACACACACACATGCGCACATATGTTCTCTTAAACAATGTCTCCTGTTCATCCAAGCGTTAACACACCACACACAAATTATACCAAATGATTTGGGATAAAACACTCTTTCATTATTAGATATATAATAGCTTACTGTTCATAGATAATTTTTAAAATAATTAGCAATTTTGTGTAGGTGTAAACTTGTTTTCGACTCACATTGTACATGCGGGTCGTGAGTGGTTGTGGGGAGGAATAGGCATGTGTATGCGCGCGTATGTGTGTGTGTGTGTGTCAGAGAGAGAAGGTGAAGTGAGAACGTCGGGTTAAGAGAGAAGGAGAGAAAAAAATAGAGAAAAAGATAGAGAAAAAGTAAAGTCTTTTAAACCTAAACATGCCAATTCATCCGGCACACGGATTTTTATGTATACGTTTGAAGGCTCTGAAAAATAATCCCCCTTTATGTTTAGCCCTTGTAAATGTCATATCCTACAAGACCTATGAAAATGATGTCCTGCAAGCAATGGCTAAAATTTAACTGTTTGAGAAAATTACAGTTTCCCTTTAACATGGACTTTTGGCTTCTACTCGCGTGCGGCGGAGAATACAAAATTGCAGATGGACAACCAGATAGAAGTGTAAAGTGGCACATCTTGAGCTGAAGGAGACAAGAATGTTAATATGTGCAGAGACAGCACCAAGAGTTTTATATAGGCACAATTTTACCGAAGCATCGTGCTCAATATCACATTCTGAAAACCCCAGGTATGAATTTGGATCAGAGAAAGAAAAAAACTCTCAAACTAAACAGTCTTTACTTTTATCATGAAAGTAAATTCCTTCGAAAAGACAACTGAGATATTTGGGAAAGTCGATTTTTTCCCCCTTTTTTTTTTGGGGGGGGGGGAGACCTCGGTTTATTTGGCCTTGGAAACGACTTGAGAAAGTGTTATCGAATACCACAATAATGTGACAAATCATAATTTAGACTGGGAATAGTCTGATAGTCAGATAGATTTTACGATCCTCATTAACGAACTTGGGTTAACGTTTCGTGAAAATGTCTTCAATCCAAATTAAGCACGGTCCAACTCTAGCACTCCCACTGGTTCTATTTTCCCTTTCTTCCTTTGATTTAAGTTTTATTTGTTTTAACTTCTTCAAAAGATAATTTAGCAAAAACATTGGGCATTAAATGCAAGGCACCAATTCACAACGAGTGAGCTAAATCATTTAAATATCACGGTAACAAACTGAATAGAACATGTCAATGTCCGATCTCGCTGTTTCAATATCCTTTGCTTCATTTGCTTCATGCGCTACAAGTGTTTACCCTACCGGTCCCAATTGTTAATGTAAATATCATATTCTCTCGATATACAGCGACTAAGTATACTTATTCATACACTATTTTGACAAACAAAATGTAACATCACGACTCTCTTTCTGCTCGAATGCAAATATTCTCTTCTCTAGTTAATTCAAATAAGGGATAACACGATCCTTCTTTAATTCAAACGCATGATATTTTCAAATAAAGCGAGTGAGTTTATTTAGTGAAATATGACTGATTTTTTATATCAATGTAATAATTTTTAAAATGTAATCATTCACATACTATTTGAACTAAATTGAACTTGACAATATTCGATCATTTTTTATTCAAATATCCTGTACTTCACTCGTTTTTAAAAAGTTTTTACACAAGCGCGTAGCCAGGATTTCATTTTAGGGGGGGGGGCGGTAGTAAGCACGCGAAGCGTGCGAATCACTTAAAAACGCGCATAGCACGCTCCCTAGGGGGTGGGTGCAGGGAGGGGGGAAGAAGCGCGGAAGCTTTGAAAGAAGACGATTCGTTGTACCTTTCTCGACTCATAATCCTTGTCTGAATTCAGTCCGCCCCTCCTGCGCATAGCGCGGAAGCTTTGAAGTTTCATTAAATTATTAGAGAAAGAAGGCGATTCGTTGTACCGTTATCGACTCCTTTTCCCTAAATCTTCCTACGTCCTCTTACTTTTTTCTTCTCTTTCTCTCTCTTTTTTTTTTGGGGGGGGGGCAGGCGTTTTTTTTTTTGGGGGGGGGGGTGGGCGACCGCCCCCACCGCCCCGCCCCCTGGCTACGCGCCTGCTTTTACACACGTGCATGTGCATCAATCAAATCGGAATAACTAGGCTACGTAATTGACGTGGAGGGATAGGGACCTTTAGAATTGCACGTCGAGATAGTGAACTGCTACATGTGACGTCCTTTTAAGGCACTGGCAGTGCCTTATAAGGACGTCAAAATGCTTTAAAAGGACGTCACACTTATCAGTCCACTGTGTCGACGTGCAAATCTAAAAGTCCCTATATTACTTTAGCTTCAACATCTCGACGACTCCGTCCTTTGCGCCAACTCTTATCTTGAATACGCTTTCTACCACACCTTTTCAACAGATTAAAGATAAACTTTAGTACTGGTAATGCGATTGCATTGTGAAAGAAAAGGTGTGGAAAGGATCAGAAACAGTTGATCATGTAGCATGTAAGTATTGGTGTGCACTGCAAGGTTCTGGAGTCATCAATATCATAATAAATTTGACCGAGTCTTGGTAAAGTAACAAGCACTCACATAGAAAGCTATATATGGGACAACACACACGGTGTCGGGGCTAGTACTACCTTGATTTCCTTGTCTTTCTATGCTCATTACTTAGCCAGTATACATTTTCTTCCAAAATTGTTTGGCACATGTCATTTATTTGTAATCTTGAACATTCAGTGTAAGTTTCGTTTGATTCTGTGAGAATTATTATTTTTTTTTTACCAGTACTGGAGTTTATCTTTAAGCAAACATCTGTATTGACCCATAATACTATGCTTCTTTAGAGCGTACGTCAAAACTCTCATTTAATGTATGACTTAATTTTGTTATGAAAAACAGCCAAGATCGCATATAAACGAGCT